CGTAACCATATTTAAAATTCCATCATCTTTAAATAGTAATCGATTTTATTATATTACTAACAAAAGTTTTTGCAACAATTCCTCTTTAGTATTTAACGATTATTTTTTTTAATTGCTGAAATTTAATTTCATCTAATAAATAAATAAATATAATACTTTAAAATATACTTAAAATTATTTTAAATTATTTGCGATGATCAAATATTATAGGTAAAAAAATTGCTTCAAATTTTAAAAATTATTAATAAAATAATTTTATAAAATAATTTTTTTTTGGGTGGAAGAGAGGAAAATAGATAAAAGTTCGATTTAATAAAAACTTAATTACAAAAAAAAAATTGATTCAACATTTCTTAGATTGGATCAAGGGGCCCCCCCAAATGAAGAACAATTGGATCAGGAATTATGCAAGAGAGACAAACGAGTTAGCCTTGTTGGGTGCTGTAATCGGTATATATTCATCTTCTTTGTGTTTTGGGAGGTAGGGTTTATAAATTCATCTTTAACCCCGAGGGATAGAACGCGCCGCTTCCCAGTAAGTCTGCGTGTGGCTGTGGTTTCATACAATCTTACAACAGAGATGGATGCTATGAAACCTGTTGCAAAACAGCTAGAGAAAGAAAATGACGACGACGATGAAGATGAAGGAAGCGTCATGCATCATGAAGATGCAGTCCTTCTGTCGAATCAGTAATTAACCAAAACAAAATAATCTTGCTTCGTCTCTTGGTTGAGCCTCCTTTTCAGCGATCTCCACCTTGTAGGTATAAACTGTAATCTCCGTCAAATACAACCAGGAAACATCAACTCTGGAGAATCCTACTCGATCTCCTTCTGACAGTCCTCCTCATTCCCTCGTCCTCGACGACTTCATCACCTCACTCCTCATCGGCCAAGAATTTAGTCTCTTCTCCTCGATCCTCAATCCTTTGTTGTTGTTGTTGCTGTAGTCGACATTCTGGTGGTTGTTTCCTGCTCCAACCAAAAATCGGTGCCTCACACGTTGACCGCCTAGTTCTCAGATTCCATGGCCTCACCTCTTCAGCCGCTGCAGGGGATTCTTCTCTTTCCTTCTTCTTGCTGCATATCTTGCTGCTGGCTCTGTCATCGAGGTAATAAACCAACAATTACGTAGTGGATTTTAACGGTTTTGTTGTGCTGTTTGTCCATTTCAAGAACTTTTAATTCTTTGAAAAAAAAAGTATAACTTATTTGAAGTATCAAGGAGATGCAACCTGTATATAAGAATATTTTGCAATTTTCTTTTAATGATTAATTAGTGTGTGATATCAGGTTTATCATGGTCAATGTGTATGTTTTATCTTTCAAATGCTTGGGCATCAGCAGACCAACTTGTTAACTTCGAGAATATTTTTCAGCACAGTTCTGTTACTCATTATAACCTAGTTTATATTTCAAGTAAAGAGCTAAATATTGTTGTTTTATCCAATAGGTAGCAGAGAGGGTTGCCAAAAAGGAGTTGGATTCCGCTTTTGCTATCGTTAGGCCTCCAGGGCATCATACCAAAGAAGATGAAGCTATGGGTTTTTGTTTATTTAATAATGTGACTATTGCAACACGTTTTTTATTAAATGTAAGAGTAAGAGTCAGTTTTAATTCTTTAGATATAGGTTTCTTACCTGAAGTTATTAATCAATTGTTTTTTTTTTTGTTAGATGTATAATTACCTATATTGATTTAGGTTAGATGTTTCCTTTTCCATCCTTTAATAAGTTGTTTCCTTGTTAACCATATACGTTTTTCTATTTTTCAGCCAAATTTGGGTCTAAACAAAATCTTGATTGTTGACTGGGATGTTCACCGTGGTAATGGTACTCAAGAAACAATCTGGAATGATCCTCGTGTTCTGTTATTTTCTGTTCATAGGTACATATGAAATTTGAGCCATGCTTATTCATTTGCTTGCCCGTCGTGATTTGCTTGTAGTATATGTCCCAAGCTTTCATGATATAGAGATAAATTAGTAATGTCGGCAGGATCTTTGTGTCCTCATGAACCAGTTTACGTGCTTGAAAGTAGTTTTTCTTTGTTTTTGTTTTTTACTTCATATTGTTTCTGCCTTAGTTTTACCTTATGGCATTTGATGCAGCTACTTTTATGGTAACTGAGTTATGTTTTCCTTTAATGTAGGATACGACAATTTTATTGTACTAAATGGAAGCTTATTATTGTTATTATTATTAGAGATGTGTTTTTCTTAACTATATAAAGTGTGTAGGCAGAAGGACACCTTCGTATCTTCCGAATCTTGTATTTGATTCCTCGCAATTTGCTGATACTGAAACTAGACTTGATCATTTTGTGAATTGATAGACCAGACACTCTTGCATCATGATGATTCTGATATACCAGTCATCAAATTCAAATTATGGAGAGAAAGAGCATATTTCATTTTAAAGATGAAATGGATTGATTTCGCTTGTTATTGAAGCTTGTGTTGCTGAACCAAGAAGGCTTGGCCGCTGTATCTTTTTCTTCAGAACATTGAAAAGATTTACTTTCTCTGTCAGCTTCTATATTCTCCGATGGCCTACATCTGTTTATCTTCCCAATCTTTAAGAATTGTGACTTGGGGGTGTCATTTTCAATGACGGCGATCTGACAGGTGAATTATTCTCGTCATGTCCGGTGCTGGAATCTGTGCATTTGTGGAATTGCAATATGTCTTATCTAAAGTTTCTAACTGTTTCTGCTCTCAGACTCAAGTATCTTCGTCTAGACTATTGTCGTGGGTTTCCAAATAATTGAGATGAATCTTTATACCCAAGTCTTATATCACTTATATTAAGGGGAAATCTTGCACGAATCTATCATATCAAAGGTGGTTTTTCTATTCATCATACAGATATTCAAGTTGGAGAAGTTTATAGAAACCTAATGAGTATAGATGCCCTTAGTCACACTGCTTTAAAGTTACTTAATGAACTCTGTAATGTTACTGTACTAATTGTGGATAATTTGTTCTATGAGGTATGTCCTTTGTCCATTTCCTATACTTCTTGATTTTCCTTTATTTTGGCTAAACTCTTGATTGATGGAAAATGAATCTTCTTAGCTTTCCTTTTAAAGAATACGACCATGCTCATGATATTCCTTGGTGTTGCAGCTTCTCTTCTGCAAGGCCAGTAATTCATGGACATATGCAAATGCAATTACTTTTCACAACCTGAGCAGTGTCTATATGTTTGTTTGGCCATCCAAGAAGCATTCAGATGATTATAGTTCTCCTCAGTAGAATGCCGAATGTCCATAACGCCCACTTTCTCATGCTTGTAAAGTTCGTAAACTTCAATTTTCTTGGTATTCAATGGTTATTTATTAGCCACTCTCATTTAGGGACAACATGGTTTTAATTGTTCTAAATGGAAGCTTATTATTATTATTATTATTATTATTATCAATGATGTGCTTTTCTTAACTATATTAAAATATGTAGGCACAAGGACTCCATACGCGTCCACTTTGGAATGGAACACAGAAAACCTTAAGACAATTGGGTTCCCTATCTTTTGGAATATATTTACGTTAACAAATTTGTCGAACATGAGATTGATCTTTACCTGGTGAAAGTTTTCCTTGAGAATGCAAAAGCATTAGTGAAGTTGACCATCTCTACTTTTTGAATGGTACTGAAGCTATGATGGAAAGAATGTAACGGCCCCGGAATTTTGAAATGAAATATGTGTATTAAAAAGGGCAAATGCGGAAGCAGAATAAAAATTTGATTAACATCCCTTACACTAAAACAAAAAACGTGCTCAAAGTATAAAAAAACAAACTAACTAAAAGAGAAATTCAAAAATAAAAGCTATAAATATAACTACGGAGTCTTCAGGCGTCCTCTTCGCCGTCTTCCTGTGAAACGGGCTCGGGAACAATGTCTTCTTGATCTGAAATGATTAAATAAGCAATGAGCTACACCAGCCCAGTAAAGATATCACACTATCTCACCGTCACGGAGGTAAAGGTGGGTAGAAAACACAAAAAGACCAATGGAGCATAATTTACAACAAATTCTTTTATCAATAATAAAATCCTTTACTATCCACTTACCTCGGTGAAATTCATAAAACAATATACGAAAGCAGTAACATTATCATTATCATGAAATCATATGAGCTGTATAACATAATACTTATGTAACGACCCCGGAAATATTAAAATGAAATGAGTATTTAATTATATCAAATGCGGAAGCGAGATCAAAATTTCAGTTAATATCCCTTACACGAAAACCAAAAACGTACTTAAAATATAAAAGATTAAACTAACTAAAAGATAAACTCGAAAATAAAGCTATGATTATGACTACAGAGTCTCTAGGCATCCCTTTCGTCGTCCTCCTGCGGAACGGGCTCGGGAACCATGTCTTCCTGATCTGAAATGGTTAAATAAGGAGTGAGCTACACTAGCCCAGTAAGAACATCACGATATCTCACCGTCACGGAGGTAAAGGTGGGTAGAAAACACAAAGGACCCATGGAGCATGTTTTACAACAAATCCTTTTATTTATGATAAAATCTTTACCATCCACTTACCTCGGTGGAATTTATGAAACAATATAAGAAAAACAATAACATTATCATAATCATGGAATAATATAAGCTGTAAACATAACACTTATCACGCCTCTTGTAATTCAATCATTATACAACATATCTTTTTCTCATTTACCAGCCTACTAGTATCCGTGGGGGTCCATAGGGGTCCCGCTACCCGTTAACCTTTAACATTCATAATCAGTTTTCAGGGCCGTCCCCATACCCCGTCCGGTATGGGCGCCAAAACCATAAACCTCAATACCCCGTCCGGTATGAGGGTGAAACGGGCCGTCCCCATACCCCGTCCAGTATGGGCGCCAAAACCATAAACCTCAATACCCCGTCCGGTATGAGGGTGAAACGGGCCGTCCCCATACCCCGTCCGGTATGGGCGCTAAAACCATAAGATCTTCATGCCCCGTCCGGCATGTGAGACCACAATCCCGGTAGGGTTCCCTACGGACCCGGTCCGTCCACCATCTCCCATGATATCTAGTCAGGCTGACCCCATAATACAATTATCAGTCTACACAATCTTTTATTTTCCTTTTCCTCAGTCAGCATCATCAATTCACATTTAAACAAGCAAATCGTAATTCATGCCAAACAGACAACATACAGTATCAGTATCCCGGTCATTCAACCCATAATTAATAAAAACGTAGTATATGCACACAAATCTGTAAAATGAACACATCAAACTTCATGCTGCATTTAAAGCTGTAAACAGGCCAAATAACAGTAAATCACCAATCACACTAGACTCGGGCTCCATTAGCCACCTTAACCAATTTCACACATTCGTTAATTCAAGAAATACCGTTTTATCATTTTAAACTTTAATACCGTGATAGGAAATAGGGTGAGGGGTCCTTACTTGTTTTCGGGATTCGAATACGATTCACAGTGCGCCTACAGACTGTTCCTAATTTTTCCTGATTTTTTTCCGGGGAACTGAAACGCACTAACGGTACCTGCACGGGTTCCAAAAGATCTCAAATTAGGCTCAGGGCCCCTTTTTGGCCAATATCGCAACTCCGGCACGGCGGCTCCGCCGTGCTCCGGCGACGGCGCCGCCGCTTGCGGCGACGACTCGCCTCGGGTTGGCTGTTTTCGGCCGAATTTGGCCACACTTGCATCGGTCCCTGCAAGAAAACAACCCTAGGGCCCTCGGGGGGCCAAAAAATCACGAAAAAACGGAGCTTACCGGCGGCGGCGCTCTCGGGTGCGGCGGCTCTCCGGCGAGGTTCGTGTTTTGGTGATTCGGCTCCGGTCAACCTGTAGAGAAAAGAATAGTGATCACGGTGATATAAAAATTACATCAAACAGAGGCCGGGAAAGGCCTCGTCGGAGGCAAAAATCGAGAAGGGGCGCCGCGGCGCCGCTGGTCTTCGGCCGCGTATTCTGGCCGTTTGGCCTGGATTTTGGCTCCGATTTGGCCACAGGAGGAATCAGCGTGGAAAAACGAGTCGGAGTATGAAATTACTCGATCG